CCACCACCCCCACCCCCACCCCCACCCCCCACCCCCCACACACACCTCCACCCCCCACACACCACCCCACCCCCACCCCCTCACACACCACCCCCCACCCCCCACACACCACCCCCCCAACCACCCCCACCCACCCCCACCCCCACACACACCACCCCCCACCCCGACTGGTGTCGCGCTTAGCCCACTACGCGAAGAATTGCATTAAAGAAATTGCGAGAAAACCACTTTTTAGATTAGACACATTAATTAGGTGGTAATTTTATTATAGAGTACCGATGAGGAAACCACCCCACCCCCACCCCCCCCCCACACACACACCTCCACACACCACCCCCCCCCCACCACCCCCACCACCCACACACCACCCCCACACCCCCCGCACCCCCCCCCCCCCCCGCCACCCCCCCACACCCCACCCCCCACTCTCAAAAAAATCATGTCTACCGTCCCATTCAACGAAATATAATTATATACTTTTTCCAGTGTCCGCCCCCCTTCCCGAAAATTCTACCCCCGCCCCCGAAAATTTCAATTACCCCCACCCCTCTCCGGGGAGGAAAAAGTCTGAAAGAAACACTGGTGTCGCGCTTAGCCACTACCCGAAGAATTGCATTAAAGAAATTGCAAGAAAACCACTTTTTAGATTAGACACATTAATTAGGCGGTAATTTTATTATAGAGTATCGATGAAGAAATTTCTTTTGAGTTGGGGAGGGGGGGAAGGGCTCAGACGTTCCTACGCGTGGGGTGGGGCTTCGCCCCTACCCGAAGAACTGTATGCAAGAAACTCTACACGCAAACCATTAAGATTAGACAACATTTCCTTTTTATTCAATGTTAACGCGAAAATCAATGACGTCATATAACTGTGAGCACTCTCTGGGTTTGAGATTATTTTCTACTCTGTGCGCTAAATGTGTCGACGTCATACTTCGTTTTTCGAAATACTGTGCATGTTTTTAAATTCCTTGTGTTTTCTCTAGAGCGTTCTTGTCAGATAGAATTTTTTCTTATGTTTTCTCTAGAGCGTTCTTGTCAGACAGAGCGTTCTTGTCAGATAGATAGATACATACACAGACAGCGAAACTATTAGTATTAATTCTCTTCTCGGAGACGTTAGAAAACAAGCTGTAAGCGCGCCTTGCAGTCCCCTCTCTTCCTCTCTAGGAAGTCTGGTGACCTGTAGTTCACGCTAAATGTTTACTATCGTAGACCCGGGTTTAGTGACGGCTATTAGGAGCAGATAATTTAGTTTGATACGATTTTAAACTTCGGGGAGGTAGCTAAGAGGAGGCTGCTTTCACGGGGGGGGGGGGGGGGAGGGGGGGGTTATCGTCCTTAACGACTTACTGATAGTGTTTTAAAGCAAATATTTTCAGTGACAGCAGTGGTACTGTCGAATTCACAAATTATGAATTACTGAAAAGTAGAAAATAAAACAATTAAATAGCGGCGTATTAGCGGCGTATGATACGCCGCGGGTCGGCTCGTGTTATATATTTGTGTTGAGATTTAGCCTCAAATGTGTTTCTATTGAATTTTTGCTCCAAAACATATTTGTACTGATCCCCAACTATAGCTGTGGTGTAAGATTTAGCCTCCAACTCCAATGTAGGCCCCGCTTATAAGTCTGATGATTCACACAAAATGTGAATTCCACATTCAAGTCTCAGAGCTGAGAGAAGTTGTATAAATCCTTCTGTCCAAAACTTTGATCAAACACCATCTTCACTGAACCACAACCCGAACCCTTAAACCGAGCGTGACATTAAACTACATTGTCTTCATTCCATCGTCACAATAATGTACCAATTCCATTTTAAAAAAACCATTCCATTATATTTTAAGAACGATTAGTTTAGAAATTTACTCCATTCACAACGTCATCTTGGTGCCCGAATTTCACAAAATATTTTCGCCTTTAAGTACAATGAGAACCGTTAACTTCAGGACATTCACGCGAAAAAGATGTCTTAGAAGTCGTTGAGCTTTGTTAGCTTTGTTGCACTGATTAATGTGCAGTGTAACGACCTGTGTAGATTAATGCATGTCGGCCTAATTGTTTCACTAATAGCCAGCGTACCGGTGAACGGGGCACAAAATGTGCTGTAGACACAAAATCTGCTACATAAAATGTGCTATAGACGTAAAATGTGCTAGACACTAAACGTGCTACGGACATAAAATGTGCTTCAGACACAAAATGTGCTAGACACAAAATGTGCTATAGACACAAAATGTGCTATAGACATAAAATGTGCTAGACACTAAATGTGCTATAGACATAAAATGTGCTAGACACAAAATGTGCTACAGACACAAAGTGTGCTACTGAAACAAAATGTGCTACTGACACAAAATGTCATAGACACAAAATGTGCTAGATACAAAATGTGCTACTGACACAAAATGTGCTACATACACAAAATGTGCTACACACACAAAATGTGCTACACACAAAAATGTGCTACATACACAAAATGTGATAAAGACACATAATGTGCTGCATACACAAAATGTGCTAGACACAAAATGTGCTACATACACAAAATGTGCTACATACACAAAATGTGCTAGACACAAAATGTGCTACATACACAAAATGTGCTACATACACAAAATGTGCTGCATACAGAAAATGTGCTACACACACAAAATGTGCTAGACACAAAATGTGCTACATACACAAAATGTGCTGCAGACACAAAATGTGCTAGACACAAAATGTGCTACTGACACAAAATGTGCTGTAGACACAAAATATGCTAGGCACAAAATGTGCTAGACACAAAATGTGCTACATACAAAAAATGTGCTAGACACAAAATGTGCTACATACACAAAATGTGCTACACACACAAAATGTGCTGGACACAAATAGTGCTACATACACAAAATGTGCTGCAGACACAAAATGTGCTACAGACACAAAACGTGCTAGACACAAAATGTGCTAGACACAAAATGTGCTGCAGACACAAAATATGCTACAGACACAAAATGTGCTAGACACAAAATGTGCTACAGAAACAAAACGTGCTAGACACAAAATGTGCTAGACACAAAACGTGCTAGACACAAAATGTGCTAGACACAAAATGTGCTAGACACAAAATGTGCTAATGACACCAAATCGGCTACAGAAATAAAATGTACTAGACTCAAAATGTGCCAGACACAAAATGTGCCACTGACACAAAATGTGCTGGACACAAAATGTGCTACTGACACAAAATGTGCTACTGACACAAAATGTGCTACTGACACAAAATGTGCTACTGACACAAAATGTGCTACTAACACAAAATGTGCTACAGACACAAAATGTGCTGGACACAAAATGTGCTGAACACAAAATGTGCTACAGACACAAAATGTGCTATAGACAAAATATGCTATAGACTCAAAATGTGCCAGACACAAAATGTGCCACTGACACAAAATGTGCTACAGAAACAAAACGTGCTAGACACAAAATGTGCTACTGACACAAATTGTGCTGGACACAAAATGTGCCACTGACACAAAATGTGCTACTGACACAAAATGTGCTATAGACAAAATATGCTATAGACTCAAAATGTGCTACTGACACAAAATGTGCTAGACACAAAATGTGCTACATACACAAAATGTGCTGGACACAAAATGTGCCACTGACACAAAATGTGCCACTGACACAAAATGTGCCACTGACACAAAATGTGCTACTGACACAAAATATGCTAGACACAAAATGTGCTACAGAAACAAAACGTGCTAGACACAACATTTTCTACAGACAAAAAATGTGCTACAAACACAAAATACGCTAAACACAAAATGTGCTAGACACAAAATGTGCTAGACACAAAATGTGCTACAGACACAAAATGTACTAGACAAAAAATGTGCTAGACACAAAATGTGCTACAGACACAAAATGTGCTAGACACAAAATGTGCTAGACACAAAATGTGCTACAGACACAAAATGTGCTAGACACAAAATGTGCTACTGACACAAAATGTGCTATAGACACAAAATGTGCTATAGACAAAATATGCTATAGACTCAAAATGTGCTACTGACACAAAATGTGCTACTGACACAAAATGTGCTACTGACACAGAATGTGCTACTGACACAAAATGTGCTACTGACACAAAATGTGCTATAGACAAAATATGCTATAGACTCAAAATGTGCTACTGACACAAAATGTGCTACTGACACAAAATGTGCTACTGACACAGAATGTGGAAGAAGAACATGTTTACGTGTCAGGTATAACCCTCTCACCATGAGACATTTATTGCACCCCGTGTTTTTTTTCCGGTTAAAACAACACCAAACGTGCGCCACATAATACTGAATTTCCTCATTAAAAATGTTTGAAGCAAAAATAAAATTCCATAAAAATAATATTTATGAAGGTCAACGTTTACGTAGGCTAAAATGAATGGTGGGTGTTTTTTTTTTAAAAATTATAATCTGTTGTAATTCTCGGAAGTTTTTTGCGAACATTCATTTTGCTGTCAAGCAATTTTTAAATTAACGTTTTCTTGGAAGTTATGCAAATTCCGATTTTGTACTGCATTTTTTTTTCGAATGCAAATTCTAAATCTGGGCAATTTTTGGTAAATGTAAATCGTGTTCTCTGCATCTCTCTGCAAATGCACATTGTGATACGTTGCGGGTTTTTATGAATAATAACAATGATTTTGAACACACTTTTTTCCAAAAGCTTATTTTATTATTATTATTTACTAAAATTTTCCGTGAGTTTAAAACCTTATTATAATTTGTGATAAAAGTTGTAGATCTATAACTTTGTTTTATTTTCTTACTGTTTAAAATGCCTTAAACAACGTCTAGTCTAAACCGTTTATAGTATTGCTCGCACGACTGAAGAATGAAACAAAAAATTCGTGTAAAATATATGACACGTAAAAGACATAAAAAAATTGGACTTGTTTTATAGAGTGTGTTTTTATTTCTTGGTCAAGTGGTGCGAGATGTCAAGGTCATGGAGAACTTGTACAAGCTTAGCACAAGTATGTGTGTGTGTGTGTGTGTTGCTGCAATATCTTGTGTGTGTGTGGTGGGGGGGGGGGGGGTCTAGGGATACACGTGCATGCGGGTATGGGGGAGGTTGGGTTGGACCCCACACCCCCACCCCTATTATAACCCGCACAATAAAAGCTGTGTCACGTAAAGTTACACTTATTGACCAGTGGTTACTACAAAGATACAAACATCCATAATGCTTTTTTTAAAATGTAGGCACGTGCAATTAACATCCCTGTCCCTGCCAACATCCCTGCGCCTTCCCACAGTCTTGTAACTACCAACATCCCTGTACCTGCCAACATCCCTGCACCTGCCAACATCCCTGCACCTGCCAACATCCCTGTACCTGCCAAAATCCCTGCACCTGTCAACATCCCTGCACCTGTCAACATCCCTGTACCTGCCAACATCCCTGTACCTGCCAACATCCCTGCCCCTGCCAACATCCCTGTACCTGCCAACATCCCTACACCTGCCAACATCCCTGTACCTGCCAACATCCCTACACCTGCCAACATCCCTGTACCTGCCAACATCCCTGCACCTGCCAACATCCCTACACCTGCCAACATCCCTACACCTGCCAACATCCCTGTACCTGCCAACATCCCTGCACCTGCCAACATCCCTACACCTGCCAACATCCCTACACCTGCCAACATCCCTGTACCTGCCAACATCCCTGTACCTGCCAACATCCCTGCACCTGCCAACATCCCTACACCTGCCAACATCCCTACACCTGCCAACATCCCTGTACCTGCCAACATCCCTGCACCTGCCAACATCCCTACACCTGCCAACATCCCTACACCTGCCAACATCCCTGTACCTGCCAACATCCCTGCACCTGCCAACATCCCTACACCTGCCAACATCCCTACACCTGCCAACATCCCTGTACCTGCCAACATCCCTGTACCTGCCAACATCCCTGCACCTGCCAACATCCCTACACCTGCCAACATCCCTACACCTGCCAACATCCCTATACCTGCCAACATCTCCACACCTGTCAATATCCCTGTACTTGCCAACATCCCTACACCTGCCAACATCCCTGTACCTGCCAACATCCCTGCACCTGTCAACATCCCTGCACCTGCCAACATCCCTGCACCTGCCAACATCCCTGTACCTGCCAACATCCCTGCACCTGCCAACATCCCTACACCTGTCAACATCCATGCACCTGTCAACATCCCTACACCTGCCAACATCCCTGCACCTGCCAACATCCCTGCACCTGTCAACATCCCTGTACCTGTCAACATCCCTGCACCTGTCAACATCCCTGTACCTGCCAACATCCCTGCACCTGTCAACATCCCTGTACCTGTCAACATCCCTGCACCTGTCAACATCCCTGTACCTGCCAACATCCCTACACCTGCCAACATCCATGCACCTGTCACCGCTGTACACCTACACAACCCAGCACGTACTCTCCACCACGATTCACCCCCTACCACACCCACAATAAATCAACAACTACCACGAAATATTCTCCCAGCCTGCCTCTCTCTATGAATGAAACCACGAAATCAAGCCTTATATGGGCATTCGCCCACCACCGGCCCCCTCCCGGCCATAAAGTCACCTATACGTTACAAGCCTGTTTAAGGCTTCATTAATTAACTGACACCATTGTGCACATTTTAAATTAAAAGCCTAGCCCACCCCACACCCCCCACCGTCACGAGTTAAATACCCGATAATTTTTTTTGGCGAAAATATGCAAATGATTCTATAAATAGCTGTAAATTGTGTAACTTCAGCGTTTGTGCGTTTGTGTGTAAACCTGTGTTCATGTGAAAATAGTGTTTTGTCTAAAATGTGTGTTATGTGTAATTTATGTATTTAGGTGTAAATTGTATGTTTATGTTAAAATTATATATGTATGTGTACATTGTGTGTTTACGAGTAGATTATGTATTAATGTGTAAATTATGTATGTATGTGTAAATTGTGTGTTTATGTGTAAATTGTTTGTATATGTGTAAATTGTGTGTTTATTTGCAAATAAACACATGTTTGATGACGTGTAAACTATGTGATTATGTGTACATTATGTGTTTATAGGTACATTTCATGTTAATGTAGAAATTATTCGTTTATATGTTTATTTATGGTTTTTTTTTGTAAACATAGTTTTACTTAGGTAAAAAATGTTTTTGTATATTAAACACTTTGTTTGCTAAAAATATTCCAAAAAAAAACAACAACGGCCTAATGTAATTTTACTTTTCGTTTTGTTTTGTTTATTATAAACTTTAGATTGCTTTATAATTGAATTAAAATTTTTAAATTACTGACGGTTCCCAACTTCTTTTGATGTTTGCTTTCAAAACGAGGCTAAGTAATTACCCCCTCTCTGAATGGTCCACCTTGATGAAAGAAATTCTTTAGCCTCGTGTCTATTTATAGCTGTTGTATTTCCCCCCCCCCTCTCTCTTTACAATTGAACGAGATGGCTCACTGAGCTAAAAATAGCCCCTTAGTACTGGAGTGACTGCTGCTCATTTCGGGCAGACGACGGCGCCTGTAAACTGACTCTGGCTTGCCTGGAGATGCCCCTGACCATATTTGCTGAAAACCACTTGATACACGGAGACGACGATCCACCACCCTAAGCTCTGATTCTTCACTTTCTGGAAGGTTCAATGGTTGCGCAACGTGAGCGGCTAATTGCTCATTAGGTAACGGTCGTGTTGGTAGGTTTTGAACCGGCAGCCTTGTGGCGATGTGTGAGAGTGGAAATATTGTGATGAGAGATGCAGTATTGAGATGTGAGTGATGAATTATTGTGATGAGTGAATAATGCAAACTCGTAATCCGTATGCGCGCGCGCGTGTGTGTGTGTGTGACAGTTTTGTGATGAATGCATGATGCAACATTATGAGACAATGCAGCATATATGCATCGTTATGACGCCGAGGCAACTGAAACAGGTAAACTCTACTCCACCTGCCACAAAAATTGACCGTAAGGCCGGTATGGTTACATAAGTTTATGACGTGTGACATAACCCAGCAATCATCAATGTCATAATTACAATGCCCCAACGGCTAGAAAGCATTTACTTAACTACTAAACATACTATATTTTTTGCTTGTGCTTTAATTATTTTCACCTAAAAGTTTTCGCCTTACTCACTTTCAAAACTCGACAGGTGCGGCCACAAAATACAACACCGGATAAACTTACTTTTTACTAACACACTCCCCTCCCCACATAAATTATGTGACGGTGTGGCACAGGCTCATCCTACCCCACCCACTTCCTCTTCACCTACAAACCCCAGGATCTGTTACTAACACGCTTGACATAATTTTAAATATATATATATATATATATATATATATATATATATATATATATATATATATATATATATATATATATATATATATATATATATATATATGCGGCGTCGTTCAGCCTCCCTCTCAAAGTTTATTATAACAATGTCCTAGGTTTGTAGATATTTTGTGTGTTGTTAGCACGTATTTCTAGATCTTTGACTGCGACCTTGACCCACGAACTGTGACCTTCATCTGTCTGTTTTACTCCACATTTGTCTAGCTAACTACCTGTAAAGTCTCTACCTGCATTCCAATGTTTCTTGCAATCCGCTTTTGACTAGCGACCCCTGCACTAGAAATGTGGTCCCTGTGTTGAATGGGACTGAGTAGTGAACCCTATGGGCGACCCCTGCACTAGAAATGTGGTCCCATTGTTGGATGGGACTGAGTAGTGAACCCTATGGGCGACCCCTGCACTAGAAATGTGGTCCCATTGTTGAATGGGACTGAGTAGTGAACCCTATGGGCGACCCCTGCACTACAAATGTGGTCTCATTGTTGAATGGGACTGAGTAGTGAACCCTATGGGCGACCCCTGCACTACAAATGTGGTCTCATTGTTGAATGGGACTGAGTAGTGAACCCTATGGGCGACCCCTGTCGTTTATAGACTGTACCTGTGGTCTATACACGGTACCTGTGGTTTATAGACTGTACATGTGGTCTATAGACTGTACCTGTGGTCTATAGACTGTACCTGTGGTCTCTAGACTGTACCTGTTGTCTAAACACTGTACCTGCGGTCTATAGACTATACCTGTGGTCTATAGACTGTACCTGTGGTCTATAGACTGTACCTGTGGTCTATACACGGTACCTGTGGTCTATAGACTGTACCTGTGGTCTATAGACTGTACCTGTGGTCACTAGACTGTACCTGTGGTCTATACACAGCATCTGTGGTCCACACAATATACCTGTGGTCCATACAATATACATGCGGTCCACACAATATACCTGTGGTCCATACACTACATCTGTGTTCCACACAATATACATGTGGTCCACACAATATACCTGTGGTCCATACAATATACATGCGGTCCACACAATATACCTGTGGTCCATACACTACATCTGTGTTCCACACAATATACATGTGGTCCACACAATATACCTGTGGTCCATACAATATACATGCGGTCCACACAATATACCTGTGGTCCATACACTACATCTGTGTTCCACACAATATACATGTGGTCCACACAATATACCTGTGGTCCATACACCGTACCTGTCGTCCACACACAAAACCTACATCAGCATCAGCTGTACCAATGCCACCTCAACAGCACTAGCTTGACCTTTCATCAGAGTCTAAAAAAAAAACTTCAATGTTTATTACGCACGAAAAAAACTCGCCACCAATTAAAAAAATAACAACCCAAAAATAGCTCAAGATGGAATGTAAGTTCTAGAAATAACACTCGTGATTTCATCTGTGTCTAGCTTTGAAGGACGCCTAGTCCCCCTCTGTGTGACCATGTGGGCATTTTCTAGCTCCAAGCGTCTGAAAAACCCCTCAGAGGTGAAAGGTCAGGTTGTCTTGCGGCGCCTGCAACGCGATAGCCTCCCCTACTTACTCGCTAGGTTTCGTTACAGTCGTGGCTAAAAATAGACCATATCAAAAGTAATGAGGCTATTCTTAGCCAGCCAATAATGATGGCGTCAAACAATGCGACCAATCAAAGAAGATCTGTGTTGGAGGCTATCGTGCAGTCAAGTAGTGGGTGCTCAGAATGGTATGAGTCACCGACTCGCCCACAAGAACCAACCAAAAAAAAAAAAAAAAATCACGTGACTTACTCGATTGATTCATCCCACGATGCCCCCCGCCCGCTTTTCATCCAATTTTAGCCAGAAATAAATAGACACTGATATTTTTAACATCGTATTCGGAAACCTGCGGGGTCCGTTCCCGCGCCTCCCAAAGAACATTGCCAAAATGGTCTTTTGGAGTAGGCATAGTTGTAGTCTGCTCCCTACCCACACAGACACACCCCACACTTGTTTAATCCTCCCTCTCCACACACACATACACACACTACGCTCTCTCTCTCTCTCACACACACACACATACACTAATTGCTTTTAACTCATCTATGCAATCCTGGAAATGTAGCAGTAATTTCGATACATAAAATTAAAATATGCCTTTACCGGTTTAAGCATGCGCTAAATTAACAGCAACCATCCTTTCCCCGCGTCCATGGCTACTACCAACCGAAAGTCGTTGCTATATTAAGAGCCTTTCGTTTTCCAAAGCAGTCGTGAACATACACGATTTTTTAAGGCCCTCGTGAGCATACACACCTTTTTAAAGCCCTCGTGAACATACACAATTTTTTAATGCCCTCGAGAGCATACACAATTTTTAAGGCCCTCGTGAGCATACACAATTTTTTAAGGCCCTCGTGAGCATACACAATTTTTTAAGGCCCTCGTGAGCATACACAATTTTTTAAGGTCCTGGTGAACATACACAAACACAATTTTTAAGGCCCTCAGACCACTTTATACTGGGAGCGGACGATTCACTGACATAGGCGCCACACATTAGAGGTGTTATATTAGCCTTCTACCAGGAGTGTTTCACTAACTACACCTCTCAAAAGAGGTGTTTCACTAGCCACACCTCTCAAAAGTGGATTTTCAGATATCACACCTTTAAAAATGTGAGTTTCACTAACCAAGCCTATTAAAAGAGGAGTTTTAGCTTTCAAAAGAGGTGTTTAGCTCTCAAAAGAGGTGTTTCACTAGCCACACCTCTCAGCAGGGGTGTTTCGCTACTGACCCAACTTCCCCCTTCCCCCACCTCACGTTATCTATGCTGCTCACACTGGGGTTCCTACACGTGTGCCAGGCCGTAGATTAGCGCCAGTCACGTGACCCTCCTCCAAGGCCACTTGAGGTGCTTGAGCCAGGAACGCCGAAGATGCTCACGATGGACAACAGCGCCACTTCTGGTCAAGCACACGCACGCGTGCTTTTGAACTCACGGCTTAGAGAGTGCTCGTGTCTTGATGGTGTCTGGTGCCTAGCTTGTGACGTCATTTCATTCAAGTCGACGTGCTTACGTCGTACATACGTCATACTTTCATACAAAATGGGCTTAATTCAACATTGCTTTAATAGTATTTGGGGTTCATTCATCATTGCTTG